AGGGTTTTTTGGGAATCATTGGCTTAAAAGATAAATATCATAGGAAGGATGATAATGTATTAGATTGCCTGTTAGACAATCTGTCTGGGAAAAAACGTAATACGGGTGACTGTTATTTTGGGTTACATTCTTACACTAAGAGATTTGAGGTTAGGCTAAAAGGTGTTTAGTCGGTTTTGCCAAGTCTGTGTGTAATGAGTCAGAAGCAGGTGGGGAACTTTCCCAATCACATATTCCAAAAATTTGGTGGTAAGAGATTTTGTCAATAGATCAGGGGAAAAGGTTTTAAATGTTATGAGAGAAAAGATTAGATTAAAATAAGTTAGGGGTAGGCTAGGTTGAAGGGACTCTGAGACAGTAAGCTAAGTTTCAAAGTTAGTAGTAAGACAGAGAGAGAACAGTGAGGAAGGACATTTTAAAGTTTAGTGGGAAGATATGGTAGGAGTTTAAATCGGTTAGGAGCAGATGCATTGAGAAAGTATGTGTTGCTGAATGATTTGAGGGTGATTGAGTATCTATATTTACAGTTTACAGTAGGGAGATCAAGGTCATTATAGGTGTATTTTGTTATAATCAGGAGGTTTAAAGTTTAGAGGTAGAACTGAAAGGGGGAAAAAGTGACACTAGTGGGGATGGATGGAAGTACAAGGAAGGAGTTCAAAGTCTTATGGGAAAACTAGGAGTAAATAAGGACATTAACACTTCAGTTTATTAGAACAACAGGGAGAAGCAATTTAACTCTTTCAACATTGATAGGTATTAAAGTCATAAATATATCGCATTTGATTATAAGGGAACCAATACAGCACCAATTTGAGGGGAAAACACTTATTAGGGTTTAGGCTGGGGATGTTTCTCTCATGTGGAGAGATAATTATGGAGAATAAGTATTGTTATCAGGACCAGGAGTAAAAGGAGGTATAGTTTAGAAGAGGGTTAGGAGTGACTGTTCACTGATGTTGCGTAAGGTTACAGAGAAAGGTCAGGGAGAATATATGTGTACTTATTTAGGGGAAGCATTAGAATTTGTTCCGGTTAGGAATTATGGGTTAAAGGGCTATGTAATTCATAAAGTAACGCTTATAATGGAAGATTTGAAGTCTGTAGAAGTTTCCACAGTCACAGAGGGAGTTAAGGATAAGTTTATTACAGTAGTCACTCCAACAGTGAATAATACACATAGGATATGGGTAGCTTTTTCCATTAGAAGGAATTAAGGCTTTTAATTCATCAACTAAATCAACTACTTTAAGGGTAACTTTGGAAGGGATTAATGATACTATGGCAATAGCAAATATAGGAGTATGATACTGACAACAATTGTTCTGAAATTAAAGAGGTAGCAAGAGGGACTCAGGAGGTTATGGTACGAATGGGGTTAAAATAGAGCAGATAGAAACAATATAGATTAATCTGAAATGGAGAATAGAGATTCATCATGGAGCTATAGGATGAGGTCTTTGATTTTGATGACAGACGGGAAGAGGTATCTGCAGTGCCGCTTGTTCTTCTGTTGTGAAAATTAGAGATAGATAGGCAGGTAGGAATATTTGGTTCCAGTAAATGATTTTGTAAGGTCAGTGAGGAATCTTGAGGGTTGATGTCTGTTGGGGATGCCAGCCCAAGACGTGTTAGACGGTCGCGCGGCCTCTGGCAGGTGTGGGTAAATGTTATGCTTTGTCATGACTGTGGTATCGGCAACAGTCATTGACCGATAAAATAATGTAGTTGTCAGACCAGTAGGGTTTAAGTGTTCTTGGGTGAAGGGATTACCCTATGAGCATTGGTTAGAGGGAAAGTAAAATCAGGTAATTGCAAACTCTGAAGTATTCAGGTGAAATATTGAGGGCTAAAAGTTGTGTTTGTTCTAATAAAACATATGAGGTAAGGGGTATGTTTATGGAAAGATCAGATTGGGATGTTAGATGATAACTTTGGATAAGTATGACCTTAAGGGTAGTAATGACAAATAATAGGTTACTTTTTATATATCAGGTAGTAAGAAGAGCAGGACTTTGATGGTTAAAAGATTAGCTTTTGACTGACAATGTGACTATGGGAATTTTAGAGGATAAGGGGAAATTATGATAGAGTATATTCTTACCCTATGGGGATAGGATGTTGTTACAGGTCAACGTTTGAAGCTTCCATATGAGGTTTTACCATTATAAGAGGGATAGCATTGGACACAGCTAAATCTAGGGTTAAAAGGGTGACATTACATTTACATTTTAGTCATTTAGCAGACACATGGCGACATGTCATAGACTTCAAGTCTATCATTGAAGAATAAGTTTAAGGGAGAAGGGGGGGACTTCATTCATGGTATGGTGTAACATTTGGGAAGATAATATTGATAAATATTAGTGTATTACTGTGAGTCCAGATAGTTCAGATAATATCACTGGGGTTATAGATGCATTATAAGGGAAGCATTTGAAAGGATTTGGTTGCAAGATCAATTAGGCCAGTAGGGGCAGTGATGGGTCAGATTCTAGTTTAAGCTTTGATAACACTGTGTGATGTTTGTACTGACTTTTGAGAAAGTTATGAGATTGAGATAGGTTGGAGAAGTGGTGCCTGGAGACAACACTCAGATGCCGGTGTGGACTGTTCCTGATCTGGATAAAGATGGACAAGTGGAACTGAGGGATAAAATATCATTTTGGATTATTTGATGATTTTTCAAATTGTTTTTTCAATATTAGTATAATTTTTAGTATGATTTATGAATCAAAGGGGGGAGTGGATAATGTGATTCATGCATCATTTATGTATCATTTTTTAAATTCTTAGGTGAAATGGAGGTTTAATTTGAAAGTGGTTGTTTTGCAAAGGATACTGTTTGGTCGTTTATTTTCTTGTCATTCCAGAAGCATGTGGGAGAACATGTGGAGATTGGAATACTCAAACAAAGACAATATGACTGGAGGAGATGAAACAAGGAGGGTGTGGCTGATTCCATCATCAACAAGTCCATTGGAAGAGGACATTACAGGGAGATGAAGTGTAGTGGACTACATTCCAGTGTCTGCAATGAAATATAGACATATTTGATGTGTAATACATAATTGTGTCATATTCTTAGGTATTGATTTTAGTAGAATTATGTTTGATGTTATTGAATGCAGATGAGGATCGTAGATGCTTTTGTTTATTTCGATGGGGTTAGGGACAGAAGGTTTAAGCAGGGAGAGATTCCCTTTCAGGTCCTATGGGTTGACCAGCCTGAGAGTGGATATTTATGGATAGGATTTTGTTTACATGGGTATTTAATTACATCATAGTTTCAAATGCATTTACATGAGTTATGAGGTTATCTGGAGTACCGACGGTGGTTGCCTGGGGCAGAGGGACGGTGAGAGAATTTTACTGTCTTGATTGATATGGATGGATGGCTGCTGGACAGTTTTTCGCTCTCACACTCCATAGAGATTTATTCATAATTCATAGTAATGTGTTCATACTTCATAAACAGTTGTTCATATGTCATAGTAATGTATTTACACTCCATAGAGATTTCTTCATGGGTCATAGTAATGTATTCACACTTCATAAACAGGTATTTCATAGAAAGGTATTTACACTCTAGAGGAGAATGTTTTTGGGGTTAAGGTTAAGAATATTCAATGAGATAAATGGTTAATAGTCATAATCTTATTCTGTTTGTTTTCGAGACGTTTATTTCGTCTCGAAAGGGGGGAATATCGTATCTGAAGATTATGCCTTTGTTAAATGTTTTTCATGACGAAATGGAATGTTGGTTGTTCAGGCCAAAGGGGGGATGTTTTATGATGTTATTTGAAATGTGCCGCTTGGAGGGTGACGCCCGAGGGGAGACTGGTGATTGGCCAGAAGAGGGAGTAGTCCCTCCCTTTGCATTGTTTATAAATAGGAGTTAAACGATGAGACGACAGAACGACCATATCAATCTGGGAAGTCGTTCTCCAGGCAACGCGTGTCTGTAATTTATGCTGTAACCTCGTGATATGAATAAAAACTTCTGACACGATGCAGCATAACGGACTTTTTGTTGACAGCGATAATGGCCACCATTCATCATATACGACATGAGTCTGGAAGTTGAGTTTACAGTCTGACCAGACACCTAGATATTTGTAGTTGTCCACATACTCTAGGTCAGACCCGTCGAGAGTGGTGATTCTAGTCGGGTGGGCGGGTGCTAGCAGCGTTCGATTGAAAAGCATGCATTTAGTTTTACTAGTGTTTAAGAGCAGTTGAAGGCTACTGAAGGATTGTTGTATGGCATTGAAGCTCGTTTGGAGGTTTGTTAACACAGTGTCCAATGAAGGGCCAGATGTATACAAAATGGTGTCGTCTGCGTAGAGGTGGATCTGAGAGTCACCAGCAGCAAGAGCGACATCATTGATATACACGGAGAAAAGTGTCGGCCCAAGAATTGAACCCTGTGGCACCCCCATAGAGACTGCCATAGGTCCAGACAACAGGCCCTCCGATTTGACACACTGAACTCTATCTGAGAAGTAGTTGGTGAACCAGGCGAGGCAGTCATTTGAGAAACCAAGGCTATTTAGTCTGCCAATAAGAATGCGGTGGTTGACTTCTGGTTGACTTCTGGTTATATATTTTAATACAGACTAGCTCAAAACATGACTAATCATTGAAAAGGACAAATTACCCAATGGATCATAATACTTTTCTGTTAAGAAAGTGGGGGTGCAAAAACATATGTTTGCAACCTATTTTGAAAGTGGGGAAGCAGCTGCTACGTTTGCTCCATTGCTCAGGCGTCTATGGCCTATGCCTCTAACTCTTCAAGTTCTGGACTAAATGCAAAATGATTCATAAATACAGTTAAAACATTTTTTTGTTATTATTGTTGTTATTGTTGTTGTTATTACTACTACTACTACTAGTAGTACTACATTACAACAACAAAAACAACAACAACTCATTGTGACTCTGTAACTCTTTCAGTACAGGAGAGGGTACTTCAGAAACCTAATCATGTGTTGGAGATGCCTGGGGGACCTCTCTCCCTCACTCTGAGAGGCAGCCTGGAGCCTCCACCCTCAACAACCACTTCAGTCAGCAGTCAGGAGGTGAGGCCAGACTAAAGAGACACACCTATACAGTACACGCTGAGTCCCATATCCTGTTAGAAATGACATTTATCTTCCATAATAAGAGGTCAAAATACACAGACATCAATGCACTGTTGTTGTATTTGTACTGTTAGCCCACACTTGAATGTTTGCCAGTCTGTGAGTTATAAATGTGTGGTTTTGTAATATTGAGGAAAAAGTATTTTTAACCAAATTAAATCATGTTAAAGTAAACTGAAAAATACCACCCCAGTCACTACAATGGAGAATCATCAGATATCCCAGAAAGCAGCTGGATGCAATAATATATCCATAAACATATTTAAGTAGAAAAATAAGTATTTTTCAGTATTATTGTAATCAGTATCACAGTGGAATTACCCTGCAAATAACCTGCAATTGTTTTCCATCTCTAGATTCGCCACTCCCTCCCGGTGGAGACATTGCCAGCTGGCGGTCAAGAACATGTACTTCATTGTCTGAGCTTATGTAAGCAAAAGATCAACACCATCTGTCGTCCGGGACAGGCCAAGCTCCGTCTTCTAGGGGAAGTGATAGAAAAGGATCTAGGTGAGGTTGTTCCAGGGGTGAGGGTGACGCGCCTTGACTCAGCTCAGCTGGTGCTGGAGGGCTTCTCAAGTGAAGTCCGGATAGCCAGACAGTTGGTTCAAGATAAAATCTCTACGGTGATGGAGCGGGTGGTGCCTGAGGTGTCCCTCCACCTCCTGTTCTTTCTGAGGAAGGAGTATGGGAGGCCTGAGCAGCTCCGTCTGTTCGCCCTCTCCTCTGGGAAACTGGACCAGGCTGAGAAGGATCTGCTGGGTGAGTTTGGGGAGGAGAAGATTGACCTGCCCAACGGTGTCCTCCCAGCTGAACTGAAGTCCAAACTTGAGAAGAAGGTGAAGGAGATGAACCAGAGAAGCCGCCGGGTGGTGGCCAGGTACGGTCCTGGGTGTAGAGTGCAGCTGCTGGGCCACCTGAAGCAGGTTCAGGAGCTGAGGGAGGAGATCGGGGACTTTCTGATAGGCCAGTCCAGTGGAAGAGTTGTGGGACGCCCTCAACAGAACCATGGTGGCGAAGTCGGTGAAGCGGGCGCCGGACCAAGATGTGAGGAGACGGTCGCAGCCACCAGCTATTGCCTCCAGGGAGGGCTGCGGGTAGTGGTTTGTCAGGGTGACATCACCAAGGAACAGGCGGACGCACTGGTGAACGCAGCCAATGAGGATCTGGATCACGCTGGAGGTGTGGCTGCAGCTCTGAGCCGGGCGGGGGGACCTGAGGTACAGCGGGCCAGCAGGGATCTGGTTAGGCAGATAGGGAGAGTACCCACAGGTACAGTGGTAGAGACTACAGGAGGGAATCTGCCTTGTAAGATGCTGCTGCATGCGGTGGGACCAGTAGGTGGCAGCGTAGGTGGGAATGAGCGCCCTCTGCTGGAGAAGACAGTAATGGCAGCCCTGGATCTGGCAGAGACCCTGGAGCTCCAGACCCTGGCCATGCCCTGCATCAGCTCAGGGATATTTGGCGTTCCTCTGAAGGTGTGCTCTGAGGCCATAGTCTCTGCAGTGAGGGACTTTGGGAGGGAACAGCACATCCTTACCAAGGTCACTCTGATTGATGTGAGTGGAGAGGCAGTGAAAGCCATGCAGGAGGCCTGTGATAGGCTGTTACAGGGTAAGAGGGAGTTTTCTGGTTGGGAGGGAGATTCTAGCACCACCACTACCACTACACATGCTCCTCAGAGAGACACCACTTCTGCCTCCACCAGGGGAGCAGCGGCTCCAGAGGTCTGTGTCCAGGTGGAGATCATCCAGGGAACCATAGAGAAGCAGCAGGTGAGAGAGAGACACTGACATGGCCACATTCTTGATTAAACAACATTCTGTGAATTATGTTGACTTCATACTGACTCAATGTTCCCATTCTCTTTTACACTTTCTCTTCCTTTTTCTGTTACCCTTTTTCTTTCTTTCTTTATCTCTTTCTTTCCTCTTCTCTGTCTGTCTCTCTGAAGGTGGATGCCCTGGTGTCCCCCATGGTTGGTAGTGACCCTCTCTCCTCCCGTGTTGGTAATGTCTTGTTGGAGGCAAATGGACCGGCGCTGATGACAGCGTTTCTGAGGGAATCAGGGGGACAGACTGCACCTGGTGACAACGTCCTGGTGGATGGACTGTCTGGTCTCGGCTCTGGCCGTGTCTTCTTCCTCAGCTGTGCACACTGGGACAACAACTCCCAGGGACCAGCAGTACAGGTGTGTCCCCTTGTATGTGTGTGTGTGTTTTGACCTTTGAACCTCCATTAACCCTTAACCTTTGGTCCTCTCTCAGGCTCTGAGGCAGGGTGTGAGGAAAGTCCTGACCTCTTGTGAGAAGCAGGGCTTCCGTTCCGTTGCCTTCCCTGTAGTTGGAACTGGTGTGGTTCTCCAGTTCCCTCACAACGTGGCAACGCAGGTTCTGCTAGAAGAGATCCGTCGGTACGAGCAGAACCGAGCGAGCAGAACCCCCTTCCTTATCCGCATTGTCGTCCATCCCAATGACAGAGATTCTACCAAGGTGAGGAGGGACGTTTAAAGAAGGTCTCAAACAATTACACAAAATGCCCATTAACTTAAATTAGTGTTGCACAGTATACCGGTACCACGGTAATATCACGGTTCCAAAATGTCATGATTCTTATTATACTAACATTTTAGAATACCTTAGTTATATAATACTACTGACCTTTTCAGCCCTACCAATCTAAAGAACCTGCTTGCGCCTGTTATAAAATGTTTATAAAGTCTGTTTTGTTCATAAATTCAGTTGAATTTAAGCTAAAGCCACTAGTCTCTTGTATGTGCTGGTCCAATAATATCCACTTCTCTTTCATGCACGTATCACCTTTGTTAGCTGTAATCAGCCAGCTGCATCCCCTAACAGACCTCACTCACCTGCTTCTCTCCGTCCGCTCTTAATGCGCGTCTATTCCTCCGTCAGTTAAAAAATATATAATTTAGCTGTGATGGCGAGCGGGGATGCAGACCCAGACCCTGATGAGTCTTCTGTTGTTAGATATGTACACTTATTACATTGGAGTAGCGTGCAAAGCGAGCAATGTTGTTACATTGTATAATTTCATCGCCTGTTATAACCAAGAGCACAGACCAGTCTGAGTAGACTTTGCAAGTTCACTGTCACGCAGCCTCTGAGTGTCAGAGAGGGAAAATGGACAGGCATGCTTGTAGCTTTACAGCAAAGAAAATGGCTTATCTCCAGCCTAAACGGTTAAAAAAATATGACCCATATTACCGGAGATTTCTTTCTATTGGGATTCGCACACATTTTATATAATTTCTAAAACCATGTCGCGGGCCATTTTAAACTAATCCCGGGTCGCTAATTATTGGTTTGATAACAAGCAACGTTGTTCCATCGTGTTACCTAGTTAGCTAACAATCTGTAAGCCTCAACTATATCAAAATCCATTTATTTCTGGTGCTCCTTCAATTCTGTTTGGTGCCTAATGTTGTAAAAGTTGGGAGCAGTGTGTGTATGTGTGTTTGTGGGAGAGAGCGAGAGAGTGGTGTGTATGTGTGTTTGTGGGAGAGAGAGAGAGAGTGGTGTGTATGTGTGTTTGTGGGAGAGAGAGAGAGAGTGGTGTGCTGTGTTTCTGAGAGTGAGGGTGACAGAGAGAGTGTGTAAGGAATGGAGGGAGAGTGTGTGTGTCTGTGTTAATTGAAGAGTAAAGAAGGTTTCATGCAGTGTTTTCTCCTTACTGATACAATGACATGCAGATCATTATGCATGTACATTCCTTCCTCCCATTCCTCCAGCCAAATCACAGGTAGGCCTTTGGAAATATGAGCAAATCAGCCATTCTATGCAGTATTCTATTATACACTGAACAGTGTGAAGTAAAATGTAATGTATTGTATTGAGTACAGAGTGAATTTTAGTGACAGAAAACGTCAACAAGCATCCGGGGGACGGGGCGAACAGGATGCTATGCCACTGATTGTCCACCGTGGTATCGCGATACTACTTGGTATCGTGATACTTGGCCTGGTATCGTATCGTTTGTACAATATTGGTATCGTGACAATAGGTTTAATATGTTTCAGCCAATCACATTTCAGATTCTCTGAAGCCATTATATAATACTGTGTAAAACATCCATAATTGCAGATTTGTTTAATAATAACAGTCACAATCCTTCATTGCAGTTGTATTGTTTGTTCTAATCTACAGGCTTTTCAGACTGCCCAGAATGCTATGCATCTCAGAGGGTTCGTATTGGGTGCTCGACCAGAGCAAGGTGAGTTACAACACTTCACCCCCACCTTTAAATCATATACATTATTTCTATATGATTGATCCAGTTCAAGTTATAATTATGAACCGTCCCTATAGACATCAGGATTGTGCTGCTGGGTAAAACCGGAGGAGGTAAAAGCAGTGCTGGAAACACCATCTTCGGACAAGATGATGTATTTCTCGTAGACAGTTCCTCCACCTCCGCAACACAAATATGTGAAGCGCAGACCAAGAACATCAAAGGAAGAAACATCACCCTGATTGACACACCTGGATTATTTGACACTGACATCCCTAAAGAGGAGCTGAAACCTAAAATAGTCAAATGTATAACAGAGTGTGCTCCGGGGCCGCATGCCTTTCTCATTGTACTGAAAGTGGAACGGTATACAGTTCACGAAAAAGAAGCTGTAGCGAAAATTGAAAAATATTTTTCACCAGAGGCCTTCAAATATGCCACAGTCCTCTTCACTCATGGTGAACAACTCAATGGTTTGACCATTGAGAAGTTTGTCCAACAGAATTATGAACTGAACAAGCTTGTGGAGAAATGTGGAGGCCGCTGTCACATCATTGACAACAAATACTGGAACACCAATCAGCAGGGTCAGCACAGCAACCAGTACCAAGTAGCAGAGCTACTCAACACCATAGAGAAGATGGTGAGAGAGAACGGAGGAGGATGCTACACCAACGAGATGCTCCAAGAGGCAGAGAGATTAATACAAGCAGAGATGGAGAGTCTTAGGAAGGAGTTAAAAGGCCAGATGTCAGAGGAAGAGATGAGAAAACAGGCTAAAGAAAGAGCGAGAAAGAAGCTCCTGATCAAATTATCAGGGATTGTAACAGGTGCAGTGGTAGGAGCTCTACTTGGGGTGTCAATGCTGATAATGCTACCACTCACACTCGCTACACAACCATTGCTCCATTTAGTCAAAAGTCAGATAGCAGCTTCAATGACAGGGCCAGCAGTTGTGGCGGAGGTAGCAGGACCAGCACTTGCAGCAGAGACAGGGGCGACCATGGGAGTGGGTTCAGGGATAGGCATAGGAGCAGGGATAGGCATAGCTGTAGGAGTTGTTGCTGGAACCGCCGCAACAGCAGGAGCGGTAATAGGAGGGATAGTAGGTGCAACTGCAGCAGAGGAGGCAGAGACAGTACAGGAGGCAGCAGAGAAAGCAGCTAGTGCTGTCTACAAGGAAGCTAAGGGTCTTTATGAAAAAGCAGAAAACCTTTTGACAGGGTGCAGTAAGTCTAAGTAGATGAGATATACCTGAAACCATTGCATGATGGCAACATGTGTTTCAATATCTAATAACTATGTAGACAACAGTCAGTTCTGTAGCTCAGCTGGTAGAGCATGGCGCTTGTAATGCCAAGGTAGTGGGTTCGATCCCCGGGACCACCCATACACAAAAAAATGTATGCACGCATGACTGTAAGTCGCTTTGGATAAAAGCGTCTGCTAAATGGCATATTATTATTATTATTTTTACCACTGTAGAATAGCTGCTTGTCCAATATATGTAGCTGCTTGTCCAAATATATATATATATATACAGTGAGGGGAAAAAGTATTTGATCCCCTGCTGATTTTGTACGTTTGCCCACTGACAAAGACATGATCAGTCTATAATTTTATTGATAGGTTTATTTGAACAGTGAGAGACAGAATAACAACAAAAAATCCAGAAAAACTCATGTCAAAAATGTTATAAATTGATTTGCATTTTAATGAGGGAAATAAGTATTTGACCCTTCTGCAAAACATGACTTAGTACTTGGTGGCAAAACCCTTGTTGGCAATCACAGAAGTCAGACGTTTCTTGTAGTTGGCCACCAGGTTTGCACACATCTCAGGAGGGATTTTCTTCCACTCCTCTTTGCAGATCTTCTCCAAGTCATTAAGGTTTCGAGGCTGACGTTTGGCAACTCGAACCTTCAGCTCCCTCCACAGATTTTCTATGGGATTAAGATCTGGAGACTGGCTAGGCCACTCCAGGAGCTTAATGTGCTTCTTCTTGAGCTACTCCTTTGTTGCCTTGGCCGTGTGTTTTGGGTCATTGTCATGCTGGAATACCCATCCATGACCCATTTTCAATGCCCTGGCTGAGGGAAGGAGGTTCTCTCCCAAGATTTGACAGTACATGGCCCCGTCCATCGTCCCTTTGATGCGGTGAAGTTATCCTGTCCCCTTAGCAGAAAAACCCCCCCAAAGCATAATGTTTCCACCTCTATGTTTGACGGTGGGGATGGTGTTCTTGGGGTGATAAGCAGCATTCCTCCTCCTCCAAACACGGCGAGTTGAGTTGATGCCAAAGAGCTCGATTTTGGTCTCATCTGACCACAACACTTTCACCCAGTTCTCCTCTGAATCATTCAGATGTTTATTGGCAAACTTCAGACGGCCCTGTATATGTGCTTTCTTGAACAGTGGGACCTTGCGGGCGATGCAGGATTTCAGTCCTTCACGGCGTAGTGTGTTACCAATTGTTTTCTTGGTGACTATGGTCCCAGCTGCCTTGAGATCATTGACAAGATCCTCCCGTGTAGTTCTGGGCTGATTCCTCACCGTTCTCATGATCATTGCAACTCCACGAGGTGAGATCTTGCATGGAGCCCCAGGCCGAGGGAGATTGACAGGTCTTTTGTGTTTCTTCCATTTGCGAATAATCGCACCAACTGTTGTCACTCACCAAACTGCTTGGCGATGGTCTTGTAGCCCATTCCAGCCTTGTGTAGGTCTACAATCTTGTCCCTGACATCCTTGGAGAACTCTTTGGTCTTGGCCATGGTGGAGAGTTTGGAATCTGATTGATTGATTGCTTCTGTGGACAGGTGTCTTTTATACAGGTAACAAGCTGAGATTAGGAGCACTCCCTTTAAGAGTGTGCTCCTAATCTCAGCTCGTAACCTGTATAAAAGACACCTGGGAGCCAGAAATCTTTCTGATTGAGAGGGGGTCAAATATGTATTTTCCCTCATTAAAATGCAAATCAATTTATAACATTTTTGACATGCGTTTTTCTGGATTTTTTTGTTGTTATTCTGTCTCTCACTATTCAAATAAACCTACCATTAAAATTATAGACTGATCATTTCTTTGTCAGTGGGCAAACGTACAAAATCAGCAGGGGATCAAATACTTTTTTCCCTCACTGTATATATAAACAAATATTTAGTATATATATTTTTTCTTTTTTCATAGTTTTGTAAAAAATCAAGGGATATTGTGACAAATAGGGCTGTGGCAGTCATGAAATTTTGTCAGCCGGTTATTGTCATGCAAAAGACTGCTTGTCTCACTGTAATTGACCATTTATTAACGTAAAATTGTTTAGCATCTGGAGGCCTCCACTCTTACAAGCTGTATATAAGCCACTGATGTGCACTTTTGGAACATCTACATTTAAAAAGTCTAATAAATCAATTGAATATACATCGTAACAATAAACCTATTATTCATTTTAGGAAGGTCTAAATCAACATTATTATGTGAAGAGAATGTATTTCAGAAGAACAGTATATGAGTTGGCCCACTGTATGTTATCTGGCTATTTATTTATTTAACCTTTATTTAAACAGGGAGTCAAATTAAAGATTACAAATCTATTTTACAAGAGAGCCCTGTATACATTACAATTAAAACAGAATAATACAACAGCATACACATACACTACCATTCAAAAGTTTGGGGTCACTTAGAAATGTCCTTGTTTTTGAAAGAAGATCAATTTTTTTGTCCATTAAAATAACATCAAATTGATCAGAAATACAGTGTAGACATTGTTAATGTTGTAAATAGCTATTGTAGCTGGAAACAGCTGATTTTTAATGGAATATCTACATAGGTGTACAGAGGCCCATTATCAGCAACCATTAGTCCTGTGTTCCAATGGCACGTTGTGTTTGCTAATCCAAGTTAATCATTTTAAAAGGCTAATTGATCATTAGAAAACCCTTTTGCAATTATGTTAGCACAGCTTAAAATTGTTGTGCTGATTAAAGAAGCAATAAAACTGAGGGGGTGGGGGGTGCTCCCAACACTCTGGCAGATACGACGTAGGCTCCAGCTGGGGGGGCCTGGAGCTACAAAGATCTGTTGAATAGCTGGGCCACCTTCGGGACAAAGTGGGGGTTCCAATGGTCCCGTGGAGGTGGTGAACAATCAGGCCTGGAGGGCCTGGAGTAGTGCCTCTCAGGGGAGTACCGGCAGTGCTGGTGCTCCCGTGACGGTGACGATGTCTCTAGCCGGGGAGGCCTAGAGCGGTGGTGGTCAGGAGAGTAGTGGAGGTACCGGTGCTCCCGCGGCGGTGACTCAGGCCGGGAGGACATAGAGTACGCCCTTCTGATCTCTTGCTGCTCATGATGCAGGTACTCGTATTCCCTCATCAGCTCCCAACTGGTAAGGGTGTGGTCACTCCCTGACCACTTAGGATGCCTGGAGCTGGGCTGGTAGTCTATTAGATGAGAGAGGTGTGTAGGGCCTCGCAACTCATCTTCCTCAGGTGTATGACGGCTTCGTGGTGCGGTGTGGGCTGAGGTGGGTGGTGACAGGCGTTTCATATGTCTTAGGGATGCAGGAAAACTCGTCTGCATCTTGGGGCGTGGAAACAACTCCTTTTCTGGGTACTCCAGCATCTCAACTATAGCAAATCAGATTCCGGCAATATGAAGGACCATGTAAAGACTATTGGTCGCTAAATCCGGAGAAATGATGGACCATGTAAAAAACAGTTGGTCACTAAATCCGGCTAGAAGCCTGGTATGCCCTCACCGGTCTAAGCGATTGGCTGTGAATGCCCTCACCCGCTATATTCTTATAACTGATTGGTTTGGTTCTGTCCTCTATAGTCCTCTCCGATTAGAACATGATGTTGAGGCCCATCACTGTACTCTTGATAGTCACCACCACACACACACAGACACATCTGTTTCCATTTGAAGATGTTTACATGATTTCGGTAATTCCGAATGACTTGGAATCTTATTGTTGTGGTTCTATAAGACAAAGATAAGCACACATGTAAACAGTATTAGTTCAGGTTTATAACTATGCAATATACATATATGTACATGAATAAATGGCAAATGGCATTACACTTACAACATGTCTATAAAAGGCTATAAACACAGCATCAATTTAAACGTAAACTTAAGCATTCACCTCTTGGAGAGAGAGAGAAACGAATTACTTGGATTGATAAAGGGTAAAGATGTATGGCACTCTCCAGCCTAGTGTGAGAATCTGCCAGACTCCTAGAACTGTCTGGGATAACTCTAGAAGCTCGCCCATGGCAGCGCAATAAAACACCTTAATAAAGGCTACTATGTAAAACTCTGTGGTAGCGTGTGCATGCAAAAGATTATGTTTACCAATACAACAATTGAGGTGAGGGATAACTGAGGTAGGCTGAGCAGCCAAACTAACGGGACTTAAGGGAAAATGAAGGGACTGTGAGGGGAAGTTAGGTACAGAGGAGTGGAGCAGGACAGACTTTTTTACAGTCCCTAAACAAGATCAATAGGGGAGCTTTTGAGCTGCATGTCTCAATGTCTTCACTGTTCTTTTATGTGCAATGATGCACCTGGCCTTTCCGCTGGCCTATCAGCTATTCCTATTTGTTCTTGTGTTTCATATAAAAAATGTATGCAGCTTTGATCGCTTTTATGTGTGGTATGATTGCTAGTTAGCCTGGCTATGTGAAAGTGAAACTTAAGCTTATACCATATTTCATTGTTGCATATGTCTGACATACATTCTGATTGAATAGAAAGTTTAAATATTATTGTATTATCCAAGTGTAGGCCTATTCAAATAATAAATATTAATCAAAAAGTCCATAGACTAAAAATATATATTTAAAAAATCCACTTTCAATTATGAGCAGACTTTCACTTAAGAACCGAGTAGGCTATGGTAAAAAGAAAAGGCACTCAATATCCGATCACTTAACCTAAACATTTTCATACCTTTTTGGTCTATGTAACCCATAACAATTAGCATATTGCAGATCTGGATAGAGGGCAGGATAGACAGTTAGACTGCATGTAAACCAGGGAAAAAACGCACTAACCTCCCCTGTGCCCTTTAAAAACCACACACCCCGCCCCAAAGCAAATAAAAACGTTTGACAACGCTCCCCTATTTCTTTGTTTCCTTATTCTCCTCGATCGACTTACTTGTCTTTCTAAACGACAAGTAATAGTCAGGCTACTTTATAATATGGAATACCCTGTTTTCTTCGAGTGCCAGACTCTGGACACATCACAGAAAGAGAAGATAAAAAAGTACTTTGAAATTCGCCGTAAATCCGGTGGCGGAGATTGTGGACCAGTAGAATCAGTTGGTGATAACGTTTACAAGATCGCGTTTATTGACCAGAAAGGTATGAAAATGTTTCGTCGAAGTGATCGGATATTGAGTGCCTTTTTTACCATATAGCCTACTCGAAATTTGGTTTACAGTGAAAGCCGGTTCACAATTTCATTTCATAATTGTTTTATTTATTCTATGTCCTATTTGATTAATATGTATTCTTTGAATAGGCCTACACTTGGATAAAACAATAATATTCAAGCTTTCTATGAGGATATGTTAAATCATTATGTTATGCAACAAATATATATGGTGTAGTCTTAAGTTTCACTTTCACATAGACAGGATGCAGACAGACATGTATAAATAGGCATTTCCTTAGGCATTTCATTAGGCTATATTGATTAATTCAGCAGTACTTTATCAATCAAAGACGTTTTAATAACTTTTAAGATTAATTAAGAACGTTATAGATGTACATACAGTATATGACTTTATAGATCATATCACAACTCCTCTAGTTTATGCCGTAGGCGCCTGACTTTGTAGGTGCAAATTGTTTTAGAATTTTAAAAACCATTTATTGCAATTCTATTCACAGGGGGAATCCATATTAATGAACAGAACACACAACTATTTTTCTTAGGTTTTGCCACAATATATGATATTCAAAATGTGTTTTAATGACTAGATCACCATTCTACTCCCTTCCCTGAAAACCCCACCCATAGTGGTTAAATGTCAGGTCTGAAACCCTACCAACTCTGTAACACACAAATATCCTGCTTCTCTCCTGACAATCCCACACACAGTGATCGATTGACAGGCCAAACTGCTATGAATATGGCCAGAATAACCCATGACAATTAGTAAATTAAATCGACATACACACACATAACAGTTTGGACTGTCAATCGATTAGCCATAGTGACTTCCGACTAATTATGATTGATTAAGATATTTGACAACAAATGGTGAAAAAACAGAAATATCATCAAAAGTATTAGGAATAACAAAAGTGTCTTAGCAAGCACTTTACTTGACCGTTATGCTTTTCCTCCAACATTTACTTTTTTACGGCACAATTGTTTGAAGCACTGTCACAGTTTCCCCATGAATTTTAATTACGTGGCTCAGCAGCACAGTACAGTACCTTTGGAAAGTATTCAGACCCCTTGACCTTTTCCACATTTTGTTACGTTACAGCCTTATTCTAATATGGATTAAATACATAAAACATCCTCAGCAATCTACACACAATACCCCATCATGACAAAGCAAAAAAAGGTTTTTAGAAATGTTTGCACAATTATTAAAAATAACTTTACATAAGTATTCAGAACCTTTGCTATGAGACTCGAAATTGAGCTCAGGTGCATCCTGTTTCCATTGATCCTCCTTGAGATGTTTCTACAACTTGATTGGAGTCCACCTGTGGTAAATTAAATTGATTGGACATGATTTGGAAAGGCACACACCTGTCTATATAAGGTCCTACAGTTGACAGTGCATGTCAGAGCAAAAAACAAGCCATGAGGTCAAAGGAATTGTTAATAGAGCTCAGTGTCTAGGCACAGATCTGGGGAAGGGTACCAAAAAATTTCTGCAGCATTGAAGGTCACCAAGAACCACCAAGACTCTTCCTAGAGCTCGCTGCCCGGCCAAACTGAGCAATCGGGGGAGAAGGGCCTTGGTCAGGTAGGTGACCAAGAACCTGATGGTCACTCTGACAGAGCTCTAGAGTTCCTCTTTGGGGTATGGGAGAACATTCCAGATGGATAACCATCTCTGCAGCACTCCACCAATCAGGCCTTTATTGTAGAGTGGCCAGACGGAAGCCACTCCTCGGTAAAAGGCACATGACAGCCCGCTTGGAGTTTGCCAAAAGGCACCAAAAGGACTCTCAGACCATGAGAAACCAGATTCTCTGGTCTGAAGAAACCAAGATTGAACTCTTTGGCCTGAACGCCAAGCATCACTTCTGGAGGAAACCTGGCACCATTCCTACAGTGAAGCATGGTGGTGGCAGCATCATGCTGTGGGGATGTTTTTCAGCGGCAGGGAGTGGGATACACTCAGGATCGAGTGAAAGATGAACAGAGCAAAGTACAGAGAGATCCTTGATGGAAACCTGCTCCAGAGCACTCAGGACCTCAGACTGGGGCGAAGGTTCACCTTCCAACAGGACAATGACCCTAAGCACACAGCCAAGACAACACAGGAGTGGCTTCGGGACAAGTCTCTGAATGGCCAGCCACAGCCCGGACTTGAACATGATCGAACATCTCTGGAGAGACCTGTTTTTGCTTTGTCATTATGGTGTATTGTATGTAGATTGATGAGGGGGAAAAAAACAATTTAATCAATTTTAGAATAAGGCTGTAACGTAACAAATTGTGGAAAAAGTCAAGGGGTCTGAATACTTTCCGAAGGCACTGTATTATTAAGCCTAGTGATTATTTCTTATTATCTACTTGATAGCTAATCATAGAGCTCAACAGCTTGTAGTCCCAAAACCCGGAAATGAGTTACCTCTGGTTCTTTCAACCATTCCTATGGGGAAAATAAATTGAGAAAGAATAGGGTTTTGGTATGAATGCTGAAAATAAGGTCTGAGGTTAACACAGGCTTAAGAGGCCTTATACGTTTTGTTCTATAGTATGAGATAATATCAGTCAGTTAACATGACCATTTTGAATTATGAACTCTTTAGTGTGCTTTATGAGCTTTTTTTGATTACATAAATGCTTCAAGATTCACAAAAACTCAATTAATTTCCCCATAGGCTTTGTCCAACGAACTATGGTGGATTTAGTGCCTACCTGCAGTTTTCTGCAAAGGTGCAACCTTTGGTAGGCTGATGGAAGGCTACTCAGACTTATTGGGAGAATCTCAATTGCATACTCCTCGCGTCCTCTCTCCCCACCTAATTTAAAAAAACTCATAAGACATAAAATAACAATACAAATGTAACAACAAAATAGATAAAACAAATATTTTGCAGGTGCCTTTTCATTTTAAACACCAGCGGTGCAACCAATGATATTGGAAGATATAGAAATGAATTTAGTATTGTCTACATTCGTTTTTGACACTTTTATTCTATTATATAAATAAATAATGCATACTTTTAAATTATATTATGTGAGCTAAAAAGAAAAAAAAGAAGAAGAAGTATATAAAAACAGTTTCCTTAAAGTATATTTTTAGAGAGTACTAATGTTCCTGTCCCCACTACAACAACAACAATACTTAAATACATGTAATTTTGTCCTTGAAACATTTAATTGAAATACTGTAGAATTCCATGTATTCCTATGGAGGACTGCTCGTACTGGGGAATGCCAATATGGCCGACTGGTGGCTTCAAAGCCTCTCAATGGCCAACACATAGGATCAGTAATCCAGGGGTTATATACATCATTGTGTGCAACTAGTACAGAAAGCACTGAACCAAAACAGTGGTGTGGGAGCAAAGCAAAACTTTCCAGTGGGTAAAACTATTCACCTTGAGGAGACGTGGGGAGGGGGTGCAAAATGCAATCTGTTAATTATTATATAATATATAAAATGGACATATATATTTTAATACAGACTAGCTCAAAACATGACTAATAATTGAAAACGACAAATTACCCAATGGATCATAATACTTTTCTGTTAAGAAAGTGGGGGTGCAGAAACATATGTTTGCAACCTATTTTGAAAGTGGGGAAGCAGCTGCTACGTTTGCTCCATTGCTCAGGCGTCTATGGCCTATGCCTCTAACTCTTCAAGTTCTGGACTAAATGCAAAATGATTCATAAATACAGTAAAACGTATAATTATTGTTATTATTGTTGTTATTGTTGTTATTATTACTACTACTACTACTACTACTACTACTACTACATTACAACTACAAAAACAACAACAACTTATTATGACTCTGTAATTATTCCAGTACAGGAGAGGGTACTTCAGAAACCTAATCATGAGTTGGAGATGCCTGGAGGACCTCTCTCCCTCACTCTGAGAGGCAGCCTGGAGCCTCCACCCACAACAACCTCTCCAGTCAGCAGTCAGGAGGTGAGGCCAGACTAAACAGACACACCTACACAGTACACGCTGAGTCCCATATCCTGTTAGAAATGACATTTATCTTCCATAGTAAGAGGTTGTTACGTGAATTATTTAACAAACTATTTTAGTGTCTCTGTGCGTCTCCCAAAAGGTTGTAAGTCTTTTGGGATTTAAGTAACGGCCAGAGTCCCGGTCTGCATAGTCAGAGATATTTATTCATTGAGAATTCTGCCATCACAATTTCAGAGTCCATCTTTTATACTCATACGTCATACAAAAAAATCCCTCCCCTCTGTAGGCGGGCTGTAGTTTTCCACTCTAAAACTGCTCTACTGACCATCAGTTCACACACACACACATATACACACATGCATGCACACATACACACACACACACACACACACACACATACCCTACTCCCTGCATTACTCAGTTATTGCCATTCTCACAATATTCTGCACCATGTTTTCATAACAGTTTCTCCCCTCCCTAAATTGGGAGGCCTCTTTATCTTAGTTTATCAGTTGTCTTTGTTGTCTGGCCTAACTCTTACTCACATTGCTAAATAGTGGCTCAATGCCATAGCCTTTACTGGTCCTACACTCACACATTTCTAACACATTATACACAGTTTCAGGGTGTAATAATTAGTCATTAATAATTAATCTATCAATTCCACCCTTTGACTAAATATTACACACATACAAAATATATGTTGTTATAGAAATGAATCACACTCATTGAAGTATATAAGTTGGTTTGCATATAAAAACATTACAGGTTCATCAGGGTTACCCCATGATTAAAAGCGTAACGTTACTTTTTAGCAATGGTAACTAGTACATCATACTTAAAACGAGACTTTAATACACAAAAGATCATTACAATAACTTTTAAACTAGAGATTTATAGTTCTAGGAAAACATCCAGTCTCAAACTGGATCGTCGTCGTCCTCCACCAAGGCTGGTAGGTCATATCCTTCATTCCTTAGGTCAGAGTCCGGGATTGGGCCGTATCTCACCATCTGTTGGGAAACCGCCTTCTCCATCGCCTTGCTCACCAACCCTCGGACACAGGGAATAAGACAACATCCACAAAGAACAAGTATACCCATAGAAGCTATAACTTCACCCAGAATAGTTACAACAATAGTTTTCCATTTACCAAATATGTTATCAAACCAACCGTTCAGTTAACTATCAATACTAGAGTTCTCAGCCAGTTCGTTCGCCAGCGTGGTTAGTCCCTGAAGCGCTTTGGTCACGGACCCGTCCGGTGCTGTATTGTTTGGGGATGAAAGTACAGCACATAGATCCAAACAGAACACAAACTCCGCCCCGCTCAGCCAAAAGCATATCTAAAGCTATTCTATTCTGCCATGCCATTAAGCTAGTTGCCGCTGTCTGCTCAGCTAATCCCTTTATTGCATCACGAGTGTGGTTTATAAATCTTTGCTGGTTATAGTTGTCACGATCGTCGAAAGGAGTGGACCAATGCGCAGCGTGGAATGCGAACATCTTTTATTTATATTTCACCACACAAACAAAAACAACAAAACGATACGTGAAGTCCTTGGGTACATACACAAACCAACACGGAACAAGATCCCACAATACACTGTGCCAAACAGGCTGCCTAAGTATGGTTCCCAATCAGAGACAACAAGCAACAGCTGATTCTCGTTGCCTCTGATTGAGAACCACCCCGGCCAACATAGATACACATGAACTAGAAACTGAAACAAGGAACACAAAACATAGACTCTACACACCCTGGCTCAACATAAAAGAGTCCCTAGAGCCAGGGCGTGACAATAGTACATATAATTTATCCAATCTACGCTTTTATTAATTGTTGACCACCAGAAAAGACTTGATTCAAACCCAGCTGCGATCTGATTCCTAGCTTTGAATTCTTCTGGAACCCCTCGAGGTACTCCTATCCCATCAATATATATCCTTTCATCAAAGGATCCCGGGAGGAGGTCCTACTTTCTACGTGACAACTCACCATTGTTTGCGTATGTAGGTGAGTTCACAATCTGTTATCACCACACAACCACCAGATGTCAGCACTGGCCTGGTTTTGGATCCTAAAAGCCTTCTTGCTGCAACAAAGAGGAGAGATTAGTCATGGTCTCTTTAGTTGTGACATTCTCTGTGTGGGAGCAGGAGCTAAGATGCCCTACCCTGTATCCTATCTTACTAGTCCTAGAAAAACAATAAGAATCCCCTGACTTCAAACGGAGGCAACCTAGGTCGGGGTGACTTTGTTATCGGGGGATACAGATAGTGCAAGTTACTACAAGACTCCATCACCACATTCCCAGGTGGCTTGAACAATTTAATCATGGAGGATAAACCTGACAGAGAGTTAAAGCCTGTCAAGGGGAACGGAGTAGTTGTTAACCTTGGTTTGGCTGTCCCACAGGCATAACAGTCCTCTTTAGACATAGTTCTTGCCATATACTGAATCCATTCCAACCACAGGTCAAGATTTCTACACCCCGTCTCCACCTGTACTACTTCCTTCAGGTCTATAGTTTGCACTATCTTCACCACAGCCCCGGTCTCAGTACCTCCCTCAGAGAGGTTTACTCTATAGGGTGCCCCAGTTGAAGAGGATATCTCACTTGTTCAGGTCTGTAACCTGTTTTAGCGTAATTCAGACTTTCAGACAGTACCTACCCTTATATGGGTCGCACTGCCATTTTCTGGTAATTCCCTGCTTTCACAATACTACAACTGTTCCTAAACTGTGTATGGAGATTGACATATTCCCCCCCCCCCCCGCTTGGTATGAGCAACTACATAGTCCCAGGATGTACATGGTGACATACATATGGTGATGTCCTTCCCTAAAGTCCCTAGTACTTCCCCTTTCCCTACGTCTAGCTGTCTCCTATGCCTTCGTAGACTGTGCTCAGGTATTATTTTATCAACTTGTGTTAGGTTAACTACTACTTCTGGCTGATCAGGAGGGCCTGAGTGTGTTAGGAATATGGCCCCCACAATCAGACAGCTACCTACCGTCAGGAGACCTGTGAATCCCCACCCTCGCCCTGAGAACATGTCAGACGCCAGAGGCCAACCCATTGCTTCACCTTCTATCGAACTCACACAGGGATGATCAGACAGGGTAAGGGAATCTTCGTTAAGGAGCCAACCCCCGAGCCCTAATGGTGATCGGTTCTTTCTCCTAACTCTGTGTTTGTTCGTCAGGTGTAACTGGGTTTACCTTTTTGCAGTGTGTGACATGCACCCAGATGGATCTCTCAGCTATTCTGCTGGCAAAGGCAGTAACCAATAGGACTTGGTAGGGCCCTTCCCAACAGGCCTGCTTCCAGTTTTTCTTCTTTTAGGGACTGGATGCTCACCAGTCTCCTGGTTAGATAGAGTGGGTCACCTTCTCCTTTAGTTCACCTGTGGGGAACAAAACCTCTGACATACGGGTGTGGTTAATAAATTATCTTCTCACGTGTTCTGCTAGGGTGCTCTCTAGTTCTATGTCTGCCTGTCTGGTCCTGCCAACTGTGGCATTCTGTAAGGTCTTCCAAACACTTTCTCAAAGGGGGATAACCCATCTTTATCTGGGGTTACTCTAAATTTCTTTCCTTCACTCCGTGATAACTCTATAAAATCCATTTCCAATTGTTGGAAACGGTACTTAGCCGGAGGATACTCACCCTGAGGTGCCCTTTGTCTGCCCTGGTGATTATTTTGAGCACAGATAACACATCTTGAACAAAATTCTTTTTTTGTTATTATTATTATTTTTTAATAATTAGTAATCCCATGTGCAACAAAGTGTTGTCTAATCTGTTCTACCATCCATCCCTCCTTTTGACACATGTCACTGCCCATGTGTCAATATTACCACCTACCTAAACAATCACTTAGGTAATATTGGTAATTTATCATCCAATTGCCATCCCTTATTTTTATTTATTGGTAAAATAAACTATCTTAAAGTCCTCCTCTCATGCCTTTAGAAATTACCAGTGTGGATGATTAATTAACACCAGAAAGTTAAAACAGAGTTCAGAGGCAATTGAAATTCCATCCCATAGTATACCAAACATTACCATTATTCTAAATATTTACAGTAACTACACGGTTCCTCACATTCTCTAGCAAAATGTCCCGTTTTGTCACAATTGTAACACTTCCACTCACTCCTGTCTCCACTATTACCATTTCCTTCTTGTCTGTCTTTGCTACCGTAACCTCTCTTCTCTCCTAGGTATTGACTAATAGTCTCACTGTCTCTAATTCAACACAAAACCCCATCATCAAATGTACTCCCAGCAGAACTGAAAAAAACAAAAACAGACTGTGATTTCCAGGACACTGCACCTTTGTTTCTGGCCTCACTATCTCCCCGGGAATTGGCCCTCCCTCAAGGTCCCTCCCAATCTGCTCTTGGTAAACTGCAAACCTTTTATTGCTTCTGGTTTCATAGGGTATTGCTTCTGATATGGCCTATGATTAGATTTGGGTATCACCTGTACTGGAATTACCCCTTTTATTAATCCTATGTCTGCTGGACCCCGGGACCACAAATGCTCTGGAACTTCTTTTAAGTCTGACTCCTGTTGTTCTGTCAACAGGTATTCCTCTCCTCAGCATCTGCTATTCTCATCTAAATGTACTATCTGTGGATGGGCTGTGTTGATCGCCACTCACAATATTGACCCAATCAGTGATCCTCTTACCCTTGGATACCCACTGGCCCATGTCTTTCCAGTCCTCTGCTGGCTCCTTTGCTAGGGACACATGTGGGCTCCATCTTTCCCTGAACTTTGGGGCCCTAGTTCCACCTCCACTGCTGCGTGGGTGTTGTCATAGTGAAACCATTTCAAGGCTATAGTCCTTTCTGTGGTTTTAAATAATGCTTCCTCATAGATTGCATCTGGACCTGGGTGTTTGTTATACCAGAGAGTACAGTGTAGGTCATCGGGGGACATTTTAGTGGGGCCTGGTACTACATCATCAGCAAGTTCCATCAAGGTTCGGGGAAT